AAAAAAAAAAAAAAGGAAATTGTATGGATAGACCACCTATTGCTATCTGCTCGGTTCGGTGCTTCAATTATATCCAGTGTAAAATTGAGCTTCGATGCAATCAAGTTGAGCAAACGATATTCGACGCCATCCCAATTGGTGCTCGTAGTGCCGCCGCTGGATAGTTTTTGTATACGAAATATAAAAGGCGGTTGATTAGCCGTCGTCACTTGGAAACTATGTCCAGCAAAACCTTTGGAAAATTTCGGTGGAAAGAGACTGACATGTGGGCGCGAGAGTGCACCTCGCATCCAACTAGTCAACACAATGGGTGTGTTGGAACCCAAACCATCAGTGTATAGTTTGTGCGTGTAGAGTACGTAGGGGCGTTCCTGAGGATATGAGGTTAGGTAAAATTTAATAAAATTATTAGGAGGGTCGCCTCCGCATGTGAAGGCACACCTATACATAGATTAGGCTATACATTGTGGTGCCCTTAAGAGAGGAGGGGAAAAGACATAGAGAGGCCGGAAGGGTAGGTGGAAGGTATAAAAAAGAGGGACAGAGGAACAGAACAATGAAACTAAGGGCTTCTTAAAAAAAAAAAATGCTCCCAACAAAGGCCCTCAAGTGACTATTATCCATTCCCGAAGGATCATCGTGAGAGTGGATAAAGTGCGACCCAAGGCAGGACACCAGGGCAGCAGGTGTTGAGGCGTTGAGATGATAACATTTCATATTAATGAGTAGGCTAGTAGGAGAATATCTGATCTCTCTTTCAGTTGGATCTGAATATTTCCTAGTAAGACTTTCGAGTATACGGGTACAAGGCCTATAATGATTTTGCCGGAAAATGTGTTATAGATGGGTTGGTCAGGAAATACACCTTTGAGCCGGTATCACCGAGAAAAAATAGAGTGGAGTGACTACATGCGGACTAATCTTGGATTAGTCTTGTGTTATCTCAGCGAATGCTGGGGAAAAATAGGATATGTGCAACGCCAACTTTGAGGTTCTCAAAGGCGAAAACTGAATTCTAGTGGGTGTCCTAATAAGACACAGGACGATGGGTGTACACGCTGTGAGCTGATTGGAAGTAGCCATCTCAGCACTTTTATTAAGCTGTATAGCTTTCGCGAGGATATTGTTTAAACACATTCGATTTTAGCAAGTCCAGAGGAAGTCTCCGGAACTGATATCTCCCGGCTGCGATTTTGGTGCTTGAGGAAATTACCTCCACCCAGCCTAAGTAGTATTTACTTCTTCAAAACGTCGAGGTCTCTGGCACCTCATATCCAGAATAACTTTTCCCATTAACCTTAGTAAAGTTTTGTTGAAGGTAAGTAGGTTAGTAAGTTCATTGACCAGTATCAACATTTTCCTGAAGTGATTCTGAAAAAGTCGGAAGCTTATCCCGAAACGATACCATCACCAAACGGTCCCTTACTAGACCCCAAATGCTTTTGAACTAGTCCTAAAATGATCCGGAACTAGTTCCAAAATGTTTCTGAAATAGTCCTGAACTAGGCCCGAAATGGTGCTGAAATAGTCGTTAACTATAACGAAAACGTTCTTAATAGCTCTGAAACAAACCCAAAACCGCCCTGAACTATTCCCAAAATGATCGCGAACTAGCCTAAAGCGTTTCCAAAATAATCCTGAACAGGTACGAAATGGTTCTGAACGAGTTTCAAAATGTTCCGAAATAATCATGAAATGTTCCAGAGCTAGTTTCGAAATTGTCCAGAACTAAGTAGCACCAAAATAGTTTTGAAATAGCCGCGCACCCAAGTCCCAAGACGGTCCCGAGCTAGTCCCGAAGGAGTCATAAACTAGGCCTGAACAGGTTCCAAAATTTTTACGAACTAGGATTGAAATGGTCCCAAAACTAGTTGTGAACTAGGCCTGAAATAGTCCTGAACTAGAATATTTTGAATGCGACGGAAGAGCCTAACGCTCACGACTCTGGTTATGTAATCTTTAAGAAGCGAGAGTTGGAGGAGTAATGTACCAGAACAAAGAGAGTGTCAAGCTATCTGTGATCTGATCTGGAACAGATGTGTCGAAAGGTATACATATAGCTCATTGAGGGGTATGGCCATGAAACGTCTTTCTGGTCAAGAGTGCAGTGGAGGCAGTCATGAGTTATACGTCTGGACGGAATCTTGATCTAATCTACGAATAGGCGTGATCTTAATTCTAAGCTAATGCTTCTCAGCTGCCTTGTTTTCGGTAAGATTTGAACTTCCAGGATCTCATATCCTTGGGCATCGCCATTAGCGACTAGATTTCTGAGTTTTTCACAATTCTATATAGAGCCAATCGAATACATTTTTGATAGATTCAAGGTCACCACCTGCCTCTTTTAATACGCACCCCCATTTGATCTTCAGTCAGTGACTCGCGTATGACCAACAAATTCACAATATTCGAGGAGGGTTCTGATGCCAAAAAATCTCGCAGCTTCCATTGTGAGGAACGTGCGATCAGTACAACGCGACTTTCAATTTGTGGTCCAATAATTTTCCGTGTCATTTGCGGATCCGAGAGAAAAAGTATATAACTCTTACATTGATTGTCGTTGTGTCGCTTAAGACGCGGATTAATAGCCTGATAATTTTTATTTATTTCGCCGTGATAAAAGCTGATGGGAAAGGTCTATAAGAAGAAGAAGAAGAAATAAAATCGAAAATGAAATTCCAAGCTTACCTCTTGCCTCTACTACGTCTTATCTCACCTTAAAAAGACTCGCCAATATCATATTGTCTGATTTCTCTACAAAACTATCATAGTAGATAACTGGTGGACATTTGTACAGATATTCACTGGCGATTTTATTGATAAGTCGCACTAGCGAGTCCGTTTGATCACTATTCGAAATACTCATATGAAACTTGTTGGCCAGCACTTCACCGCGCGGCTTAGGATGCCCAGCAAAAATAGGCTTGATGTCGCGTCGTAAGCGTCGCTGTTGCGCTGTAGATACATTTCGCGCCAGATGGTCGCAGTACTGATACAGCTGAGTATTTAGATTGTAACGTTTTATCAAAGTTGGACTGACACAAGCAATGCGTTCTCCTTGCTCAGATATAAGCCCACAATCCACTGCTTGTAGGCACAAGTGTATCAAAATAGCTGCGGCGATGTAGTGCTGCCACGTTGATAGCTTGACAATGGCCATGACAATGCGCTGCGTGTTGACACGTCGTTGACGGATTCACTTCTGCTGCTCTTGACTGCTGAAGTGGTGATTTTTATCTGCATTCTATACATAAATAGTTTTATTGCTCACACCGGACAAGGCTAACGCGTTATTTATTAGTCTTATTTGGTTGAAATTATTATTGTTAATATTATTATTGTTGTTATTATTACTGTTGCAGTGCATTGTCGTTTTCAATGGGCGTAGCACGCAATGGGTCATCACCTGCAAATTAATGATGTCCTTGTTGTTTGTGATTTCTTTTATTTGATTCACTTTCGATTTAGAAAACACCTGCGCATAATTGAGTTCGAATATTTTTTAAATGTGGATGCATTTATGGTGGTTGCGAAAAGCGGTGAAAGTAAAGAATGAAGTTTTATAAAATATTTTTGAATATGCCCTTATTGGAATTTTTTTCTCTATGGTTTGCGTTTAAGTAAGAAGCGCATTGCTTCTTTACATACATTCATACATTCATATATGTATAGTATATCACGAACATTCGAGTGAGTTGGTCCCCATACAAATACTTGATGGCTTAGGAACAAGAAATTTGAAGCAGAAACACAACCAACTTCAACTCTCATATACAAATTTAGGAATACCGTTAATTTCTTCATGATCCTATGATCGGACCTAAACCAAATTAGTATGGGACCACCCATGAGGTAGCACCTTTCCGATAGAAGAAGAATTATCGAAATCGATTAACCACTCAAAGTTATGCGGTAACATACATCAAAAAAGAAAATATATATATTCCGACGAATTGATAGCCTTCTCCTTTTTTGAAGTCGGTTAATAACTAAAGCAACTAACACCTTACCTTCTACTCACCTCATCTCACCTCACCTTAACTAATTCACCCTAGCTCACCTCACTTCAACTCACATCAGTTCACTTTATCTATGCTCACCGAAGCAAATCACGAATAAAATTTATCTCTAAAAATCTCGAAACAGTCACGAAAATCGAGTACCATTCCCAGAAGCCCGAAAATCCCTTAGTAGTCTCGAAAATTCCGAAACAGTTCCGTTAATCGAGAAGTAGTCCCGTAAATTCTGAGGTAGTTCCGAAAATGCCTATACGGTCCGGAAAATTCCGCAATCCAGAAATAATCCCCAGAGTCCCGATAATCACGAAATAGCCCTCAGAATCTCAATATAGTCCCGAGAATCCCAAATCTCTCGAAGTAGTCCCGCAAATCACGAAATAGTCTATAGAATCAAGAAAATCCCGAATGCTTAAATGGCATGTAATCAATGTATTCTTATAGTTTCGAATGTTTTGATTGATTCTCGAAAATAATAATGACCCCAAAAGAGAAAAAAAAATAATTTTCTTACGAGCAATAATAATAGCTCGATCGGGTACCTCTTAGAATTATCGTAAAGAGGGGAGATTCATGGAAGTTCATTTTTGTACCAAATACTAAAATTTGAGTCAGTTTTCGGTCGCATTCCAGGGTTTTTTTTCACTTGGTCTACTATACATCCATCTTTTGTTGTTATGCTTTTAAAAAGACTTCACCGCTTGCTTAAGTGTTTTATGAAAAGTAATGTGTAAATAGTACTCAAAAATATCGTTTTAACATTTTGAAAACGGGACATATTCAAATAAGGACTCGCCAAGGACAAACATTTTTATGATTCTAAAATCCTCTTAAAGTAAGATTTCAAATTAGAGAAGGTAAGTGCAAACTTTTTTTTCGCGCCACAGCCTAATGTACATACTTTCCGAAAACACTGCCATGCAATTTAAAAGTGAGTAAAAGAGATTTTTAGAAACGTTGGTGGCAATAAGGCACTTAATGGTATATGGATACTAAACAAATTTGGTTAAAAAAAGCTTTATTTAGAAAATATTTTGAAGAGGGTTGCCACCTATCTGAAAGTCAATTTAATTTTTCTATAAATAAAATAAAGTGTAACAAATTGGATACCAAACGAAAGAGGTAATGTTTCGAAAACATTTTTAAAGAGGCTGTCACCTGTTTAAAAGTCAAATTTAATTTAATCACTCAGTTTAATTAAGCACCACGAAATGATGTCAAGTCAAACAAAGGATATTAAGGGAGGCTTTATTTCGTGAATATTTTTCAAGAGGGTTGCTACATGTTTAAAAGCCAAATCATTTATTCGTTAGGGAAACCTAAAAATTTTTTGGCTCAGCTAAGGGCTGAAAACCTCTACTCAGCAGCTTAGGACCTTTTGGTGGGTATCACGCCACGCAATTTTTGATGTCTTAGGGATGCCATCCTTGCAAAGTGTAGTGTTATATGTAGTCGGTATTGTGCTCAACGCTTCTGTAGTTCTCATCTACGACAGAGCTTCTAGGGAGGTACATATCACGCAATGGCGTTTGTCAAAGGAGAAAATATGTATACCCAAAGAGAGCCAAGAGTAACTCGCTCTCATGGGGCTAATGCAGAACAGACGGCAGGGTCTAAGAAGTCTCACTGGTTACCTAACTGACAGTTAAGGTAACATTTTGGTATTTTAGCGTTTGTGCCTAAGGGACGGACTACAGACAAAAGATTTCTTTAGCCAAATTAGAACTTTCTTTATTTTAGTTGAAAAACACACGCCTCCATTGTATATTTATAATTACATTTTTCTTTATTTGCAATATTCATTGATTTCGATTCGTTAAACATGTCGTTAGCACAAAATATTTGATTCACTCGTTACGAAATTTTCCTTTATAATTTGTTTCGATTGCTTCAACTGCTTATTTGTAATACATTTACATAAATACTTTCTCTATACATAAGTATGTATGTATGTATGTATGAATTTGTAATTTTCTAATACGTTTTAATAAACATAATAGTATGTGTGCATATGTTACTACTATCTGTTCAATTTCTAAATAAATTTCAATACTCAATCATACGCCTTTTAATACTTACGATGTCAGCTGATTGTAGTTTTTTCGCAAATTTACAATTCATGTTTAAAAAAGTAATTAAAACATTTTTTAAAAACGGTAATAGTAATATGCAAGAAAAAAAACCACATTACAACTAATTTTAAATAAAAATATAATAATTTTAAAAATATTTAGTGTAGGTTTTCTTTAAAAAAATCATTAGAGATTCTTCATTTTTTTTTTTGTTAAAATTTACATGCTATATATTGGGTTAATATTTAATATTTTTCAAGGCACGGCTACGCGCTCCACATTTTAGCCGCACTGCGTCTGCCATTCTGTATTCCTTAGAGTTTTTGTTTATTAGTTACTATTTGCTTTGTTTATTTTGATTTTAAAATCTACTTGAATTAAGCTAGTTTTCATAACGATCATTGCTTAGTTAGTTGGTGGATTCACTCAGGTTCTTACATATGGCAATGTGTTTAAGTAACTGTTTAAATGTTCAGATTTTAATTAAAATGCAACTGATTGCATAAGTTTTTTAATACGTTTTTTTTTTTCTCAATTCCAAAAATCAAATACTTTAATGTCTGCTTAAGAATGGTAAATTTGAATTTTTTACTTTTCACTTCCTTTTAGATATACAGCCATGTTCACACGAGCAGACAAATTCCGCTAAAAATGAGTACCATCAAAACTTGCTTGTAAGTGCGTAAAAAATACACAAACAAAAGTAATGTTTTCATTATCAAATTCAAATTAAATTTTTGTGGCATATTTTATTTTGACATCCCAACTATGACAATAGTAATTTTGGCGGATTTTGCCATTACGTAGGAGTAGTACCGTTAATCTTGAAAGCAAACAAATCATTATTTGACATTATTAACCATTTGCCTGTCATCTCACCTTTTTGCATCCTGTTTTATGATTTTAGCGTATAATTGTGTTTACGATTTTTAAAAAATATATATGAACATGCATATAAAGACTTTTAATTTATATATATATATCTTTAAAACATATGTTTTTTTCGATTTACTTACTTAATACTCGTACATATTTAGGTTTAAGTAAAAATTAAGTTATTTTTCCTATTTATGTTTGCTTTTGGGCAGTGATTCTCCATAGTTATTTATATGCAAAATGAAAACCTATATTGTCTCTTATGAAAAAAATGCTATAAAATATCTATGCATATATGATGCATTACGGAAAAAAATTCTTAAATGCATGCTGATGCACATTTATCTCCCACACAAAAAGTAACTAAAAGGTCTTACTAATCGTAATCGATAAGGCAAAGAATTAATAAATTATTAAACTATTTTATTTTAATTGACAAATTTCGGGTACTTTTTGAACAGTTGGTGGTCAGGTATACTTGAAGAGTCGAAATATGTATGCAGGAAAATCTTTAATGAATATGAAATTGGAATGAAAATTAAAATTACTACATAAAAGTTATTTGTTTACAAAGTTATACATACATACGGCGGGCATATCTGCCCACATTTAGCTTCAAAAACTAGAAAACTCAGGGTACAAGAAGCGCAGGAAAAGGCTTGACATAACGCAAAACCAAACATTTAGTTCATTAAACATATATTTTGTTATTTTTAGAATAAAGTACGAAATAAAATTTTTTTGAATAAAAAAAAAAATTTCAAAATGCATCTCAAAATGAAATTTTAGCTAAGATATAGCTCATAACATCTTCTTTGCTTTACATACACAGCAAACTCGAAATTCACATTTCTTCAACCATTCCTAATAGTTGTGCTTTTCAAGTTTAAAATAAGTCATATTCAAATTCAAACATTAAAGAACGCTTTAAGAACCATTTGTAATGAGAAACACAATGCTTTTCTACGCCCTTTTTACTGAGAATTTTATGCGTCTCAGGTGGAGACAATCAACTCTATTCCCATGAAAACGACAAAACTTAAGGCTTGACTATTGTCTTAGCTACTGCGCCTAAAACTATGCCGCAAAAACTTGACTTGAATTGCTCTCATGATGCCAACTGTCATATTTTTTGTTTTGACCTACTGAGTACGTCATAGTTTTAGGTGTAGTAGTTAAGAAATTAGCTATATATGTATGTCATGAGTTCTGTGAACAGCGCCTTATGTTGAATAACGAGTACCGAATTAGGCCCGAAAAAGTCTTGCACTGTTTTCATTTGTACTACTTTATGCAAATTTTTCACAGCGTGGGAGCAAAAATAACGTTTGACCATGAAAAGCCTGTGTGAAAATAATTTCATTATATTTCAAAATTCCGCCTTGCTTTTTATCAATATACTATTGTGGTGTATATGCCTTAAACTATGCAAGGAAAAGTTGTAGAAGGTTATATTTGCGTTTTGGAACTCTCGTAGCAAATACTACAACTATTTACTTGCAACAGCAGTAAACGCACGCTGCTTCTAATGAAAAATTACAGATTTCCTGCTGGGTTACACAAAGCTTGTAAAAATTTTATGCGGGTTTAACGCAAATTTAAGCCATACTGAGAGCTAAGATGTTTTTTACTCATCAAAAAAGTTCTGGAATCCAACATTTTTTTTACGCTGTTTTCTTCTTAAAAGTGTCTTCATTTTGGTCAAGGTGTTAATTAAAAAAGATTTTGACATTTTTTTTGCCAAAAAATGGATTTGCTCACCGAAGCTCTTGGCTCAAGCTTTATCCATTCGTCCTGAATTATACTAGCCAATAATTTTGAAATATGAGTGTTTTTACTCTCAACAAAATATGCGGTTTTGATTTATGTTGATACGCGATTTTCTATTTTAAACGTCTATATGTATTTATACAAAATAGGCTCCAAATGGTTAAATTTAATTCATTCTCAAACATAAATACTGCTAAGGGAAGATATTCATTTCTGGGTGATGCCTAAAAATATGCTGTGATGAATGTTTTTAAATGCCTTATTTCAGACAAAATCGATGCTCGCTTTAGAAAAACATATCTGGGTGGATTACTTGGATCAAATTATTAAATTAAAAATTTATTTGCGCTCACACTTGACTTTGTCACATGAAAACTTATCTCAAGGATATGAAATATAGGTCAATAAATAGGAAAGGAATAAGCTCTACGGTGCTTTGTTTCCGGTACATGTTTCTAGTAGCTTAACTAAAAACACCAAACTCTAATTAAGGGGAGTCAGATTCGAAACTAAGCAAATGAGCTTTTGTCTGGTGCAGTAAAGTATTCTACTAAAGCGGCGATGGGCACCGCCTTGCCCGCGGGCAAAGCCCTTTTAAGCTTTCTATACATTTTGTATAGGCGCGTACAGGGCAAAAGCTCTCTCTGCTCATCGTTGGACTAAAGGTATGTATAAAAGCCTAAAGAGATTTGCTGCTACTTTAAATTCTAGGTTCATCGCTGAAAGTAATTTTACTTTCCGTTTTGTATTACGTCCCAAAGTGTGCTGCGGATTAAGAGTGTGGAGCTTTTTTTGATAAAAGTTTTTTTGTTTAATGTAGTGTTGATCAGAAGAAGGTTTTACTCTGTGCATGTCCATTATAAAACAGCGAAAACCCGAGCTTAAAATTTATATAAAGCTTTTCTCTCGGAATAGGATTTGGTGGTGACTGATATAAAAAGTTCATGAAGCTTTAGAAAAGATTGGCCTATCTTACGAAACAAACAAATTCGGTTAAAAATGTAGCCAGCGAACGAAGTTACTCTATTTCGGTGACGATCAGAGAAAGCTTTTGCCCTGTAAGCGTCTATTTAAAAAAGTCACAACCAAAGCCAGTGCTGCGGTAGAACCTTCTCAGAGCTTTCAGTATGTAAGTAATGGGCAGAGAGAGATTTTAACTTTGAATAGCTGTAAAGTGTTTAGAAAGATTAAAAAAGCTCTACACGATCACCACTAGCAAGCTTAAAAAGCTCTGTTTACGTGATATGCCACTCATTTATGTAGTTTTGTAAAAGTTGTCTTACTCATATTATGATTATCAAATTCAATGTAGGCTACGCTTTCATGACTTTGAGATATTGCTTTTGCGGTATTAGAACTAATCAAACTACATAATGAAATTCTATAATTTTCATGCCTATACATGCCTCAAAGTTGAAACTCACCTCGCGCGCTGTCGGCGTAATGCATAGTCAAAAATTATAGCAAACATTTATCACATATCGTAATAATATCGTAAATTATTAAGTACTTACATAAGTAAATACATACTGTGCTTAGGTACTATAAGCCTAACCTACCAAAAAAATTAAACCTATACTAACTTTTTTAATTTAAAACTCTTTATTTTAAAGCCATCTGCATTTTCGTACACACTTTCAAGTGATTAATTTCATAGAAAGCAGCAGAAAATTGCTTAGCCTACACGAAAAAAATCTACAGCTAGTATTGCGCGCATGCGTGGCCAGTTTACTTAATTTTTTTTTTTTAACTTAAAATAGCAAACATAAATTTAATACTAAAATTTCGTCACAAATTAAATAAAAAATAAATAGTTTCTTCTTTGTTTTACAAAATACCAAAATAAATTTAAATAGTCCAAAGCAAGGTTGTTTTTCTGTATTTTCTAGTACAGCTAATATTCGCCGTTTGCTCTAACAATTTTTCTTTTTTAATTTCATAATTTTTCTTTTTTCGATTTTTACAAAAATTTTTACGCTGCTAACGAGTGAATTGCATATTTTGTGCATTTGCAGTTGTATGTATGTTTGTATGTTTCTCTTTCTGATTGACACTTGTGTGCGTATATTTACAAATTGCGCATGCGCACGCGCAGTGCAGCAAAGCGTCTGAGTTTACACCTGACACATCGAACTTTGCTCCGCCGCTGCTGCTCTGCTTGGCTCCACCCCCCCCCACCACCCCAAAAGAACACATAAGCTTATACCACTTATCTAGTATTGCTCTCACACACAGAAAACACATTTTGCAATTTACGCTGTCGAATCTTCAATTTCGTTGTCGATACGCGATGAACGTATGCCTGACTTGCCGGTCCAAGGATAGATGTCGGGACAGGGTTGACACGTTTTCATATAACGTACGCCGGATTTGTGCCAGAGATTGCAGACCTTGGGGTTGTTGCAACGCTTCGGACGGTCCTGTAGGTGCGAAAAGGAAAATTGATTAATGAAAGCAGTTTTTGGAGCTACTGTCAAAGAGAATTTGGGGTTTGTTGGTACACCTACCGAGTAATCACACGAGAATGGCTGAAAGGAATTGATGCGCGAGAGTGGTGTTGGATCACGTACCCATTGCAACATTTGCCAATTGGTCACAATCCAAACGTCTGGCATTTGATTGATGGCGTCTAAGAATTTGATGAAACCTTCTTTATGGTGAGGCTGCGTGAACCAAGCCGCATGATAGTAGAGACCAAATGGAGCTCTGGAGGTTAAAAAAATAAAAATTACGGTTACTTAATTCGCCTTCCTTTTTTTGCCTTCCACACTCACCTGTTTGTCGTGTAGTGTCTTTCGAAATTCTTCATAATCATTTTGTAAACACCATCCGATTCGCTGGGATTCGAACAGGCATCACCCATTGAACAACGTCCACCGTTCAAGTCTTGCCACATCACCATAGGCACTTGCCAGACACCTGGATAGCTGCGCGTCGGGCAGGGTGGTATCATGCAGTCGTGGAAGATTTTATAGTCGAACGTGTAGGGCCATGATGGTGGGCGATTTTCGTACACTGGCAGTGATGAATCGTAGGTAAAGTTTGAGTCGTAAAGCATTTTGTACATTTTATTGCCGCCGACTGAGAGGAACGGCGCGCGCATACCACGCACATCGGAGAGTTTCACACCACCATAGGCGGCGAGAATTTCACGCTGGCCGGCAATCTCACGCGTCCACTTCTTTTGCGAGAATTGTTCGCCGAAGCTGTGACTGTAGGTTTTTGGTTTTTAGAAAAGGATGGGTTGAGAACAAAATAGGTTAGTTGGATGGTTTTTAGAGTTTCGTGTGCAAAAAAATTTAAGGTGCGGAAAACTAGTTATTTTAAAGTTACTTTAAATTGGTATCATTATTTTATTTCGTTTATGTCTATACCGCCACCAAATCTCTTTAATACAAGTATTTTTTGATTACAAGCAAATTATAAAAATTAAGAAGTTAAAAAAGAAAGGGACGAATACATACAGTCAATCAATAAATTTTTGATACAGCGATGTTTTTGCATACGGGCAAAGGTTTTTTAATTATTTTTTTTTTCGCAAAATTTTTTTTATACATCGTTAACTCTACAACATAAACTAAAAAATTAGAGCTCCAAACCCTGTGCAAAATTAAAGAAAATTCTGAAAATTTTCATTAAAATATTGAACATTTTAATTAAATTTTTTTTTTAAAGTTGAGTATGCAGTAAAACAAGGCAATCAGTAAATGTTTCGAGTTTTCATACTCTTTTTGTGTGTCTTGGAAGTATGAAAAAGCATCTGTGAAGTCCAGAACGCAAGCGTATTCAAAACAAACAAACTGACTTTGAAGTTGTGTAAACCAAATTCATTTTAAAGTAGTTGAAATTAAATGCAGGGTCGGACATTCGACTTGATGCTTGCATACAATTCAAACTGAACATTTGAAAGCTCATTACGTGTCTGGCTGTAGCTGAGCGTGCACAGATGTTTGCTACAATTAGTCGCAGCCAAGAATGTCCATGTTCAAATCACATTTCATTTTAAATTTTTAATTTCGGTTTTTCTTAGTTATGAAAAAGCATCTGTGAAGTGCAGAACGAAAGCGTATTCAAACGAAACATACTGACTTTGAAGTTGTTTAAGCCCAATTCATTTTAAAGTAGTTGAAAATAAGCCGGGAAGTCGTAGGTTCGAATCCCACTGCCAGGAAATATTTTTTTTACATCTTTCATTTGTTCTTTTAAATACTATTTTAATTTTTTTTATGTAGTTATAGTTCTTGTGACCTTTTTAATTATAATTAAACTCCAAAAAATTTGATGAATTTGAAACAATTATGTGAAATACCATAAACAATAAAAGATAATAACATAAAATTTAATAAAATAAAATAAATTGAAATATTAAACAATTATAATAAAATTAAAAAAATATTATTTGGAATCGCTCGGAGTGGGGACCGAACCTGGATGCTACTACGTTTACTACTTCAACATTAAAATAAAACCTAGAAGCTTATTTTACCATTTTAAAATCATGCTCTCCTCATTTTAAAGTTAAAACTCTATTTTTGTCGTAAAAGGCATTTTAAGTTGGCTATGAAAGTGTTAAAATGGTGATTACTATAAAACAAAATTTTAATCGTTAAAACCTTTTTCTAAGTTCTCTATGATTACGGGCCATATTAGTTTCTAAGGGTTTAATAATTTTTTCTTCAATTAACTACAAATAGGTTAGATCCCTAGATGCTACGATTACCGAGTTTCCTAAAAGCAAACAAATATGATGCTGGGTTAAGTGAGAAATTACATACATATATGTATATATTTAGGGTGCAAAAAGCTATTATCTTATGTATGTATATTCGATTTATTTAATGAATTAGGTGTTATTTTGAAATCCACTAAAAATAATTGTGCTCCTTTTAAACGCTGCAAAGTGTGTAGTTTATAAGTTCATTTCTCCTTTACTGGATATTAAAAGTTTATTTGCTTTGTAGAGAAGTGTGCTCGGTATTTTCAGTGCCAGCTCAGTGCTTCCTTGCCGTAACGAGCCGTAATGTTTTTTCTTTCTTTTAGTTTTATATAAATATGCGTGTGTGCGTGTCAGTGTTGGGGCTACTTAAGTGCTTCATCATAAATTGTATTTTATTTTTTTTTTTTAATTTTTACTTACGATACAGTATGTGAGGCCATCTCATGCCCATCGGCGTACAAATTTTGCACTTGACTGTAGTCAGTCCACTCGTGTGATACGTAGAAAGTGGCCGTTATAGGACAACCATTCGGATTGACACGCCCCTTTTCGAATAGATCGATATAAAGTTGCTTATTCAGATCATTAACAGAGTCGTCGAATGTGATTAGCACAATTTGAGGTACAGTCTCAACTGGTAAATCGCCTGTAGGAGCGCACGCGCATCAAGTTTTCGATAGGAGGGATTTGATATGAGATGATGATTGGATGGTATTTGACAGCGGGGACAGGGGGTCCATAACACATTTATATGCATACAGATGTGGTTTATAGTAGTATGTATGACACCATAAGAGATGCATGATTTGTAAAATAAAAATACAAATTATGGGCATGTAAATAAATAAAGATAAAATGGAAAATAAGTAAACAAAAAAATTTAAACAAATAAACATGTACATATGGATCGAGAGTAAAAACGCCATTGAAAATTTAAACTAAAAAAAAAAAATTTTAGAAAAAATATGCGTTAAAATTCGCGTTGGAAAATGATAGCGTAGAAATGAAATATTTCAACCAAGAATATTTATTAAAAAAGTGATGAATATCAGCTTGACGTTTGGGGGAAGCGAATTTATTATAAGAAAAAAATATTTAACAGGAATGAGGGTCACCACATGCTGGGCCACAGATGAGCGCATACATACATGCACATATATGTACATACGCGTATGTATGTAAATACTTAAGTATACAATATAGCCTCCGCTAATTTTTCACGGTACAACACACGAAATCCACACATAAAGCGCGCGCAAAGCTTCAATACAAAGCTCTACAACGCCCAACTTACGAGACTGAATGCGAAGCCATCTCATGTCCATCCGCATAGAGATCCTGCACCATACCATAATTGGTCCACTCGTGCGAGACATAGAAAGTGCCGCGTAACAAGCAACCATTAGGATTGAAGCGCGACTGGTTGTTGAAAAGGTCCTCGTAAAAATCGATATTTAATATGCTGATTGCGTCATCGAAGGTTATCAATACCATTTGTGGTACCTCACTGACATTCAAACCGCCTAATTGAGTGTGCGAATCGGGCAATGAATATTTTGAGTGAGTGTGTGTGAGTGTATTTCATATTGGCTGAGCTTTTCTCAACTGGACATCGTTGTTTCTAAGGTTCGTAGGTTTGGTTGTGCTAAAGATACTGCCCTTTAATTTTGTTTAACATTTTCAAAGGTACCTTAGGTGACCTATTGGATTGTGTTCGATCGACCAGACCAGACTCAGAGCTAGGTAGCAAAATAGCCGGCTAATTTTGTTTTGTTCCAAATCGGGAAATGATGAGCATGCGCTGGCAAGAAGCTTCAAGCCAATCAGTCTAACAATCTTCATGCTGAAGAGTCTGTAGCGCATGGACAAAGGGTACATTAGATTGAAGTTTTTGGTGAAAAGTCGCCTTAATTTTTAATTTTATTTTAAATTTTAATACCAAAGTGGAAAGCCCTGGGAATCACAGTCGAGCTCCAAATGACTTTGTAACAAAGATCGACGTACGGTAGGAAGCAGGTGAGTACAAAATAGGAGTAATTTTTGCTGATGTTGAGGGGCGTTTGACAACGCTTACTTTTGGAGTGGACGAAACAATCCTAAGGCGAATTCACTTCTGGTTATCTAGAAGATTTCTGATTGTAGCGGATGAAGTTAGCCTTTATACCATGGCTGAGGTTGGAAGAGGATGCGCTGAGAGCGCGGTGCTCTCACTTCTCTTGTAGGGCTTGGTTCTACTTCGTTCGCATCCACGCGGATAATGTTTGTTTACTGCCATCAGCAAAATCTCTCAGGCAGGTGTGTGTAAGAACACAGAGAATCCTGAATAAGATTGATGAATGATGGTCTTACTGTAAACCCCAACAAGATAAATTATTAGTTTACGCGGAAAAGAAATTTGGAAGGTCCCAATCTACCAGTGCTTAGAGAAATATCAAGATACGAATCAGACATGGAAAACTCATGTCGAGCTGAAGCTAAATTGAGCGCTGAAAGTTTTTGGACAGTGTCAGAGAACCATTAGTAAGTTTGAGAATGGCTGATACCTGGGGTCTCCTTTGAATGAAAGACCGCCGTTAGCTTTCTTACAAGGGAGCAATGGAAAGATCCATTTTCTTGGGAAGCTCAGTAAAAACTTTGTATACCTGCGGCTAAAATACTGAAAATGGTACTGGAGCTGGATGGCATCTGACGAAAGATGGCGTGGACATAAAATCAGTGTCTGCAGTCACAGCCAAGCTGCTCTAAAAACCTTGGAAACCGCTCAAAACTCATCAAAAATAGTCCAACAATGCAAGCTGAAGCTGCACTCTGTTGGAAGGTGGAATGAGCTTGAACTTGTGTCGGTGCCAGGACACTTCGATGTTCAAGGCAAATAACTGGCTGATGAATTGGCGAATGCAGATCTTTGGAGCAGCCAATTGGACCGCCGCCAGTTTAAGGCCAAGCATAGCGGACACAATCGGGTCATCAAGTATTTCATTAATAAAACACATGAGAGGCGTTGGTGTACTATTGACGCCTGCAAAATAACCAAGTTTTTCGTAAAAAAGCCTCATAGGCTGATAACAAAATTCCTCATCAGGCAGAGAACTCTGATAAGAGTTATTTGGACGACATATGACCACCATGGGCATCATCGACGTTACACTTTGTGCATCTTGTCTGTGAGCTTTTTGGTCTGGCTTGAACATACCGCACTTAATATGAAGTTGGTTGGATTTTGTTAAGGAGTTTTGACAACCGATTACTAATCCGAAAGTAAGGATATCATTGTTCTGCTATATTGCCTTTTTAATAAGACGTGGGCAAACTCAAGTAAGGCAACTAGTTTCACTTGGTGTATTGTTGCGTCTTTGCTTAAAGGAAAATATGTGCGCAATCGAGGCTCCACAACTCCCGCATCTACACCATTAGGTGTCTTGGAACCAACGGTATACCATTTTTGTGATTCGTCGTGCAGACATCTTGAATTGCTGCTCGAATCTTTACGAGTAGGGAATGCTAAGCTAAGGACGGGACCGATTTGGTCCGAACCAGGTTTTCAGCAAAGATGATCCCCCTGCCATTTAAGATTTCAAGGTGACCTGCAAGGTTGCCTTGTTTGGATTTGCTTGCTGGATGATGATGCTCTAGTGAAAAGATCTTTTGATTCGATATGGAAGGAGTAAGCGCAAAAGCAGCCATACACATTTGCTAGAAGAAACTGGCGAAGCTTTACAAAGAAAAAGGCGATTAGCAAATTTTGTTTGTTTCGGCTCCGCATGACAAATGGCTGTAGTGCCAAATTAGAGGAAGATGTTTATTTTACAATGAAATCACTTCTCGGTAGATGCAATTTGGGTTCCTGGTTATCGAAACGTCACGACGTCGATGGAAATCTGGTACCAGTCAGAGGGAGTTCCAGCCGTAACTAAATCGTATAAAGGAGTAGTTATCTTTCTTGACCCGGATGTAACTCCAAAACAACATCACTGTCAGGAAAACCCAGAATGGTGGGCTGACGTGGAAAAATCTGTCACCGTCCTTACAAGGAACTGGCCTATTGACTTCGATGACAAAAGACTAGGTGCAAATTGCAGAAAATGCAGAAATGAAGCTGAACACGAAACCATCAAGCATCTCTAATGGAAATGCCTAGCTTTAATGAAGGAGAGGAGGAGCGCTTCGCAGACGCTTAGTAAAGCAATCTATTGCAAGACCTTCCGAACACCGCCTTTATAATTTTGTCAATCCTTTAGGTCGACCTTAAAAACATACACATAACCTATGTTAATAGGGTCCATAGTTGCTACTTGGGCGTTAAATTCTTCCCAGCTATTAGAAACCAAACTGTATTCCGTAGCATTTAACAAAATGTTTTGAAAGAAAATCACTTGAAAATCTTTAGCGAAATTCGCAAACTGCGCAAAATAGATATATGTAAACCATATATATAAACCTTTAGAACAGTGTTGTCCAGTTGAGACGGTCTACTACATATTATTTGCTGTGTATGTGTAGTGGGTAAATATGCCTTTAGTGATTTTATGTATGTACTTTATGAAACTACGCAGGCCTAGTACTTCTTTACTTACCGGGTATTTCCTTGCCACCGCATGAACAATCGGGTAGCAGACAAACATCCTTGCGACACTTGGCTGCTGTCTTGTCGGGCGTTGGTTGTGGGTAAAGCGGTTCCGGACGTGTTGGTGGATTTCTATAGATATCGACAAATTCCTGTGCTTTCGATACGATCGTGCCCGAAGGCTTCAAAGTGGGACGTGTGCGTCTGCACGAAGTGAAGTGAATGTTTGTTGTTATTGGAGTAACTCATTGTGATTATCGATGGAATGCTGATACTTACGGTGGATGTGTGCCACGATTACTGGTCACTGCTGTGGGTACATCACGATCCTGGCCAGTATAGCTGGAGCTACCACGATTACGATTGTTATTCGAATTTGTTCTATACAAAAATTTAATTGAATAGTGTATTGTTAGCGACATCTGTAGTTAATGACAGTTGTTTGGGGATTCTGATAACACAGTACATACATACATACATACATATATGTAAGTAAATGTATATAGGTTTTTTTTTAAATATAGATTTGAGTTTTTTGTCTCAAGAGAAGTGAGATAAGTTAGCTACTTTGTTGCTAGTTTACAGTTAACAGTGTTCTATAGTAAAATTAACACAGCTACACTGACAGAAAATCTTAGCACTAAACTCACAACACTCTAGCTGTTATTTACCTGTAATTAATTATATATCTACATATCCATGCATATATTTACTTATGTATAGACAGATACATATGTTTTAGTTGTTAATAAAAAAGCGCAAACCAATCGAAAAGATGGGAATGGGTGTTAGTAAGCGGCTTTTTAGGTCAAGCTCAACAACAAAAAAAAATATATATGATACATTTACAGCTGCTTTACAATTATGACTATTAATGAAAAAGTATTATTTACAACATTTTTCTATTCATAGTTTAGTTAGCCTCAAAAGGTGCATGCAAAACCATATACACAGTTTTTTTTTTTTTACAAAATTTACAAGCTGAAAATGGCGTAAGAATGCTTGCAAAAGAAATGCTTCGCTAGAAAATTTGATGAGAACCGAAAAGATGAGTTGTTGTTGTTTTTGTTTTGCTTCATAAAGTGTTGCTGCAAAGAAAGTGAACATTTAGTAAATTCATTTCGTTAGTGTTTTTGTAGTCGTGCATGAGTTGCTGGCGTTGTGGGATAGGAAGGGATTAGAGTAGAGTGGTGGATGAATGGTTAAGGAAAAGCTTTTTTTTTCTCAGAAAAAAAAGTTAAGTGAGAGTATCGAGCGATAATTTTTGAGTTTCAGATTTTCAGCGCATGCCAAGTCGAAGACAAAGAGAAAAATTTTGGGCATAGATTTCTAAATGTGAGTAGTGTAAACAATGTGATCGATCCTTCATCACTTTAGCTAAACCTTTTCTGATTTTTTTTTTCTGTGAAAATTCAGGCAGAAAAAGAAAAGAAAAATGAAAAAATTGGACTATGATTTACAATCTCAATGGGGGCTTAGCGCTTGCCCAGAAGTTGAACAAGTTAAGTTTGATTAGAGTAAAACGGGGAGGAATATAAAATAACTAAGGGAGAGATTTGCTCTGCTTAAATGGTTTTAAGTGTACGCTGAATTATTATTTTCAATAAGGAATTAAGTTTATTACATTTTCCTACTACAACATTAAAAATTTATATCTACTCCACTATCTCAACTACACAAACTTGACCAAGAATAGCGACGATCAGGGAGAAAGCTTTTACTCTTTGCGCGTCCACATAACCGCTAAAGAAAGCTTTAAAAAGTTTATCCCGCGAGATATACTTCGATCGTGATTGATCTATAACTATATTAAAAAATTCGGTACCCATCACTGCTTTAAAGTATATAGTTTAAACTTAGAACAAAGCTTAGTAAAGCTTATTTCGCAAATTATGTTTTGGTCGCGACTGACATGAAGTCTATGGAAAGCTTTAAAAAGCTCTTCACGTAAGTTACGTTTTGGGCGTGACTAGCTTTAAAGAGGAATCAAAGATCTGAGGAGAGTTGTCGAAGTTCTGTGAACTACAGGCAGGACTAAAAAGTTGTGAATTCAAAACAACAAATGTATGTACTAAATTCTTGGGTAGAAATTAAAGTTCATACAGTTATATAGGATGTTTTTTTAGAGCGAATTCGGAAGTTAGTTGAAAGTTTAAAAAAGCTCTTGTCCATATACCTTACTTCAAATTGTAGGACATTTAGCAAGTTTGAAAAAGCTCTGCCTAAAATGCTGTTTTTTGAGTATTTTCTGCAGATTGGTTATATAGAACATATCCTGCGGGAAAAGCCTTTAAAAGCATTTTTTTTTTTAGATTTTCTATGAACACCCTACTAATAAAAGCTCTATCTCGTCGTGTATGATTTGATTTTAAATTTAATAATTTCCTTTGTTTCTACACAGTACTTGCTTTGAGTCATTCGTCAAAAAGCCTTTTATTTTTTTTTTTAGGTTTGGCAATGGGAAAGAAAAATTATTCTAGCAAACAACTCTGTGACAAAAATGTAAGAGAAGCTTCCGGAGAGAATTAAAAAGAGATTCGTTTAGCTTCAAGCTTTAAGCTAGTCAAAGAAAAAGGAGCTCTCTTAGAAACCTTTAAGAAATTAGTAAAAAAAGTGAATTTTCGAATTTTAGAAAGCTCCGATGCTTACTTTTTCTGGTAGCTCTGGAAAGAAAATGAAAGTTTTGAATAAAAGTAGTAATAAAATAGTGCCTAGCAGGAAGGGATTAGTCCTGAATTGGGTTTAAAAATTTCAAAGTTTAATTTTTCAACGTATAGCTTAGTAAAGGAAACGAAAGCTTTCTTGGAAATCTTTGGGAGACTATTAATAAAAGTGCGATCTCTTATAGCTCAGAGACAAATAAAACGTAGCTCGTGACGAGATTTCGTTATGTTTTTATACGTTTTACAACAGCCAATACCAAAACATATCTCATAAGAGAAGCTTTTTTAAGCTTATGTGTATTTTATATGGATACGCACAGAGAAAAAAACACCTTTGGGTCGGCACTGCTTTACATATATAGGCGCGCACTGGATAAAAGCTCTCTCTGGTTATCATTAATTTAACCGCGTGGTAATCTAACTCAAGCCTTATATTAGAGATTCGCCTTGAGTTTGGTTGAAAAATTAAGTCTTAATGTGAATAAAATTATGGGAGAAAAGATAATCTGTACTGAATATTTTAAAATCAACTTTTCTTTTCAAATTCTTCATACCTTTGACTTCCCCAAATCTAATCATCTTAACTATATTTCACCATTTATGTCAATTAAAAATATCAAATTTCCACAAGTCTCCAAAGACTGTTCTTATCCTCAAATTAGACGCTCAGAGAGCTTTCTAGCTTAAAAAAGCTCACATTTAATTAGGTGTAGTTCAACATCGGTTTTTGCTTATGCATAGTTTATCGTTTGAGTATTTTCGAAATAGAAGTGGAGCTGGAAAAAGTGGTAAAATGGGTTCGATTAGGTGGTAAAGTAGTGCAAAAAAGCTAACTAGTAGGTGCAAATTGGTTAAATAAACAAAAACCTTTTCGGTTCTCAATTGATACTAAAAAATGTCTAATAAATACGTTTAAAGAAAAAGAGAATTTGTATTGGCGCAGTGCTCCGGCTACGAAAAAATTTAGTAGTAGATTTCAAAGCAAGAGTTTTGTACTTTCTAAATTTCATTAAGAAATTAGGTACTATTGTAAAATAAAAACAACTAACCACCACCTTTTCGATAAAATTATAAAAGAAAAAAATCTAAAAATTCTAAGGTGACTAGTAGTGCTAAGACAAAATATGTATATTTTTTTGATTTTTTCTTAATTATTCAGCGTACACCAAAACGAAAGATCTTTGAATATTAAATTTTCTTCTTGAAATAAAAATATTTGCTTTGCGCAACTAAATATCAATTTTTTTCAAGGGATAGTGAACAACTAACAACTACATACAGTACAGTAGACTATGGATATTAGAGTTTGCTTTAAGGCTTGCAAAGTTTTTTAGTTTCATTATACGTAACAGCTGGCAACCCTGTTGATTGCAGCGCAACTGGGCATTGTTTAATGCGTTTTCACGCGCAAACTAAATAGTTTTTTTTTTTTTTTTGAAATTTGGCATACGAGTAGTTACTGTATTTTCTGCTAAGTACTTATTTAAAGTGAGATAGTCATAGAGATACGAGTGAGTTTCTTCTTTACGAGATAAAATTTGTAGTTGTTTTGATTGTTGCTGTTGGTGGTTAAGTACCTCGAGGGAATTTCGTTGCACTTGGCATTCGATGTGGTGTCGGAACATTTGATCGCTGCACCGGTATTCGTGACGTAAGCATTGCCCTTAATACTGTTACCTCTGGCCGCGTTGGCGGTGCCCACAGCTGCAGACGCCTGCTGGGAAGCAGAGTTGGAGACGGTGGTGGTGTTGGTGGAGGAAGCGGTAGGCGAAGAAGAAGCGGAGTAAGCGGCCGCGGCAATCGACGACTTGATGGCATTATTAACTCTTGAAGCGCGCATTGGCGTTAACAAGGATTTGGCAGTGCTCGCTGGCGCTGTGTTGCTGGTGGTTGAGTGGTTGATGGAGGAGGAGGAGGGGTTGGAGGTGAAGGCTGGTGCTGGCATTTTCGTTTGTGCATATGTATTTGTGTTGGTGTGTATGGGGGAACGGTTGTTCGTAAGTGTGACGGTATTTGTGGTGGTTGTGGTAGTGGAAGTGGTTGGTGTTGACTGAGGCGCGCTTGCTACGCGGTAAACAGTAGTCGGCGGCGCGGCAGTAGTAGTCGGACGCAATGTGGTTGTTGTGGTTGTGGTAGGTGGTCTATGAGTGGTCGTCGTCGTTGTTGTTGTGCCTGCGTATGTTGTTGCTGTGGCTTTGGCTCTGGGTGTGGTGTAGAGATTTTTGATCTCTTTCACTGCAGCATTGATTTCACGCTCTGAGAAATCATCTACGAATTGTTGTGCGCTGCTCTCATCACTATCGCCTGCGAGGTAGAGTTGCAGCTGTTCCAGCACTGAAGCTGGTTCGAACTTGGTGCGCCCAGTGCTGGAGGTAATATAACCAGCATTCTGCAAACTCTCAGCCAAAGTGCGATCTTTAGTTTGCTGCCGATATTTGTTCGAGAACAGGAACTTCAGTGGCCGATCGGTCTTTTGTTCTGTGGACGAAGATGAGCTAGCGCTACCCGCCGATTCAATGCTGTTGTCTTGCTTCGCATCAATGGGCAGCCGCACCAAGGCTTCGGCGCGTGGACCACCCTCCACAGTCGATTCGTT